CCAAGTGAAATGCATTGAGAAAGAATTCGCTCGCTTTGGGCAGCAGCAGCAGCAGCACGGACGAGGGAGGGAGGAGGGAGGGAGGGAGGGGAAAGAGCGCGAGGAGGAATAGGGGGAAGAACAGAAGGGAGGAGCAGGAGGGGGAAGAGGAAGAGGAAGAGGACGTGGAAGAGAAAGAGGAAGCGGATGTAAAAGTGAAAGTGGAAGTGGTAGAGGAGAAGGAGAAGAAGAAGAAGAACAAGAAGAAGAAGAAGAAGAAGAAGAGGAAGAATAGGAGGAGGAGGAGGAGGAGGAGGAGAAGGAGGAGGAGAGGGGAGGAGGGAGGATGAGGAGGAGATAAAAAAGGGTTTGCGAAGGCTTGGGAGGTCCAGGGGCGTGTGGGGGGACGATTGCAGGGGGGGGGTCTCCTCCAACCCTCATCCTCTCCTCCTCCTCCTCCTCCTCTCTCCTCTCCTCCTCCTCTCTCCTCCTCCTCCTCCTCCTCCTCCTCCTCCTCCTCCTCCTCCTCCTCCTCTTCTGCCGCCGTCCTGCGACCTGCCAGACGCCAAGGCCCTGACCACCGAGCGCATCGCGCTGACGTACCACGTCGACGGGGCGGCCGAGAATGCCGCCTCGACGACCGCCCCAGCCGCCGGCGCGACGCCAGCGGCGGCGGCGGCGGCGGCCGCGGAAACGCATAGGCGCCGGCGTGGAGGAAAGGCGTCCTGAGGCGTTTCGCCGCGCTGGGCCTCCAGGGGCCCGTCCCCGGGCCCGAGGGCCGCCAGGGCGGGGCACGCGGCACGAGGAGCCTGGCCCCGGGAGGGGAGCCCCGGGGCCCAGGGACCCGCTCGCCTCGGGGCCCCTTCTGCTCGGCGGCCCCCAGACGGTGTGGCGAGTCGGTGGGGATCCGGGGTCACCGCACGGCTCTTTTGGGGGGCCTGGGTCGATGTCTCGGGCGACCGGGGCCTCCGAGGTCCCAAAACGGTGCGGTGACGGACCCTGCGGTGAGGTCTTCGCGGATCTCGAGGTCCCCGCCGGGCCTGTCACCACACGGTCTTGGGACCCCCCAACCTGCTGTGAAGTCGGGCGTGCCCCTCCACAGGAGGGATGTTCAAGAATAGTCCAGAAGTAGTCGGGGGACGATGTGTCTATTGTTTCTTGACTCTCTGCTTGAGTATTGGCCCGACTCGCGGTTATCTTTTCTTCCAGGACCTGCCCGACCTGAGCCTGCTGCCAGGAGTCTTGGCCTCGCGTGCTGCCCCGCCGCTCCTGGCCCGCCGCGCTCCGGCGCCGTCGCCGCTGCCCGCGCCCGAGAGTGCCCCGGCGCCCGCCGCTGCCCGCGCCTCTCGGAGCGGAGCGGAGCGACGCGCCCGCCCCGCGGAGCGGAGCGACGCGCCGTCCGCCCGCAGGGCATAGCCTTCGAGGCCTCCCAGACGGGGTCCGAGCAGGTGGGGTCGGAGGACCGCGCCGCACCGACGATGCATCGACGATGCGGCTCGATGCGGAGCCCGATCGGCGATGCATCGCCGATGTATCAATGATACGGCGCGATCCTCCGACCCCATCTAGGAGACCTCTAGCATAGCGTGTCGCCGGAGACGCCGCCGCGACACGCTGATGAAGCAAAAGTTCCCAACCGTATCATTCATGTCAGACAGGCGGCTCGTGCAGCACCTCACCGCGCAGAGTTTGGAGGTGGTCGGGCGGCCTTGTGGGCTAAACCTTGGAGGGCTACACGTTCGGCGGCGTGCAAGGGGGGGTTCAGCGCGAGGGGGGGGGCATTCTAAGAAGGCAGGGGGTGTATTGGAAGGGATCGGCCCCTTTGATATATACTTTACGAACCCGCCGCGACCCCAAGGGAAACAAGTCCCAGGAACCATAAGGACCCCCTTGTAAGGAAACAAGACCGAGGAACCCTGGGGGGGACCCCGACGCGACCGCGCCCAGCACCCACCCGCTCCTTCACAAACAGGTCAGAGCCGTTGAGGCAGAGCCTGAATGTGAAACAGAGCCTCCGGAATGGACCCGCCCCTTTTGGGATGTATGTGCCAGAGCCTTCTAAGATGATCCGATGTGGCCATCGTGGAGAGAGGGCGGGCCCTGGCTGGGCGGTCCCTGGACCAAACTTGTGAGGGTTCCACCTCGGAGGGGGGGCTCCGACGGACAACACTGCAGCCAAAGCGCACAGTAAGGACGAGCAGGTTTCCAAAGGCCACCCTTGCACCCTTGCCCATTCGGCCCATCCTTGGCAACGTTCGCTGACCGACCCCGTTCGGAAGACGCCGGCACGGCCTTCCAAGGCCCTTTGCATCCTTACTGCGCATCCTTCTGATGCGTTTTGACCGCAGCGTCGGAGAGGCAACCCCCTGCTCTTCGTGCCTGTGCTCTCCGTCTTGAAGCGCTCTTCGCTTTGGCCGCCTCCGCGTGGCCTTGGGCCGTCGGCGAACGGGCGCCAACGCTCTTCGTCCACGTTCTCGCGGCCGTGTCTCCACTGTCCCGCCAAGGCTACGGCCAAAGGTCGGGTACTTGTCAGGATGTGTGTTATTGATTGACGCTCACTGCCATAAGCAGAGCTGTAGGCATGAGCAGCGTTGACAGCTACGCGCGGACACGATTTCCCGAACGGGGCTTCCGCCTGAAAGGCAGGCTCGTGGAGGATCTCGTCTCTCAAGGGGGTGCCTCCAGCAGTGAACAATGAAGGGACTTGGGACAGGGAAGGGTGTCTTGCAGCATGTGTCATGCATTCTGGTTTACTCAGGTCCTCATCTTCCTCCTCCTACTACTTCATCTCCTCCTGCTCCTCCTCATCCTCCTCATCCTCCTACTCCTCCTCCTCCTCCATTTCCTCCTCATCATCAAAATCACCACCATCATCATCAAAATCACCATCATCATCATCTTCATCATCATCATCAGCAGCATCATCATCATCAACATCCTCATCCTCATCCTCATCCTCATCCTCATCCTCATCAGCATCATCATCTTGCTTCCACTCCGCCTCCCTCTAGTTACCTTGACCTTGATTTCCCAGGTATGACTTCGTACCTGGCGACCCACCCAGTGGGCTGCCTTGCTCCCCCCCACGCGGCCTTGCCCCAGGTGGAGATCTGGAACGCCGACTCCGCCATGCAGGTGCCGGAGGGACACCAACTAATCATCCGCATGCGCCGACCCCAGCCCAGCCAATCCTGAGTCCAGTACATGGATCGGTGCCCACACCTCGTCGGCCAGGCCAGGATGGACCTTACGGTAGGTTCGTGCGGCGTTGGCGCGCCGGCGACGCCAGCGAAGGCTTTCCAGGTTGAATTCCGCGACGCGGAAGCACGACACGGTGTCTCCATTGGACCCGACTGAACACAGCCTTGAACCTTCGGGGCCGAGATCGATTCCAGGTGGAACGATCGGCGCGGTGTCGAAGACCTTGACGCGCGCCGACGCCGCACGAACCTACTTACCGTATCCACTAGCCCCCCGAGACCCGACATTGCGAAAAAACTGCAGCCTCGCGAAAGATCACGGCCAGCGCTCTGGGCCCCATGCCAGATCGATCTGCGAGGGTCCCTGGGCAGCCGGATCGGTCTGCGAGGCTCCCGGGGTGGGGACATTGGGCGAAGACGCCCGGCGCGAGAGATGCGGGGGCGGCCAAGAGGGGGGGTGATGACCAGGGCGGGGTGGATATCATGGCGTGGGCCAGGAGATCTTTCCTCAGACTTCATGGCGCCTCTTCTTACTTCGTCACGCCCCTGGTCTCCCCCCCCTGGGCCGCGCGCATGCCGCCGGCCGTGATCTGCGCCCCCCCCTCTTGGACGCCCCCCTCTCGGCCGCCCCCGAAAGACTCGCAGCGCCAGGCTCTCCGGGGTCCTGCACGCCCCACCTCACGAGCACGCCTGCGGCCCTCGTCGCCGTCGCTGCGCCCCACGCATCTCCGGGCGGGGCCGTCGGGCCCCGGGACTGGCCCGGCCAGGGGCCCGACGAGGGCGGATAGGTGCACACGGGGAGCTCCAGAGCAGTGCGAAGTCGGGCCTGCCCCGCTACGGGAGGAAGATGGCCAAGAAAGGTCAAAAAAACATAGATAGTCTGGGGCCGGTTTTTGTGGGCCATTTGTTTTTTGTTTGTTTTGGGCAGTGTTTGGCTATTCCTCAGCTTTCGCCCCGAAATCCGCCTGTAGGGGGGGGGCGTGCCCGACCTGAGAGCGGCGGCCCCGCCCCCCGGGGGCCGAGAGGCGCCGAAGCCCCTCTCCTTCTCGGGGGCCCCCGGGCGGCGCGGTGACCACGCTGAGGCCCAAGCCCGGGCCCCGAAAGAGGGCGCCCCAGGCATACGTGTGTCTTGGCTGTGTGGTTACCTTTTGGGGCTCCAGCCAGCTCCAGCCTTGCGTCGGGCCTGCCCCTCGACAGGAGGCAGATTCGAAAATGGTTCCACAAAGAGTTTGGGGGCGACTGTTCGACTATTTTGATGTTGACTACGTTTGAGCATTTTCTGGCAATTTCTTCTTTGTCGTCCAAAATTCGCCTGTGGGAGGACACGCCCGACCTAACTCCAGCCCCGGCCCCCTGGCCCGGGCCCCGGACAACGATCCCACACACACACACACACACACACACACACACACACACACACGCTTTCCTTACCATCGGATGGCATTCTGGGGGAAAACCTGTCCCCAGCATGCGTCACCGCACGGTTTTGGGACTCGGGTCGTTCTCCGAGAACGTCTCGGGCGGCTGGGGCCTCCGAGGCCCGAAACCGTGCGGTGAGGTCCTTCGGGGTTTCGAGGTCACCGCGCGGCATGTCACCGCACTGGTTTGGGACCCCAGCCTTCGCCAGCGAGGGGCGGCTCTGCTGGCGGCTCCGCTGGCGGAAGCCGGCGGGAGCAAAGGGCAGCCCACCCCAAAAGAGGCGCCGACCTTGTCGGGCTCTGCCCGCCCCAGGACTCTGCCCAGAGCTGGCTCTCTCCCCAGGTGGGCGCCGTGGAGGTGCCCCTGGAGCACCTGGTCCGCCAGGGCCGCCCGGTCACCAAGGCCGGCCCGGCCGGCCGGCGAGGCACGGGGCGGGGCATGCAGGCAGAGTGCGATTCGGGCAGGGGGTGGCGGGCGCGTCCATTCCGCGAGGACGTCTGCGGTGAGAGCGCCGTCTCTGCGATGAGCGACTTCCGATTGTCGATGGTGCCTCGGGCGGCAGGCTTGTGCCGCCGTTACGACAGGCGCCGCATACCGATTTTCGAAGACAGACGCTCGTGTCGCGCATGTGTCGCGGTCTGGGGTCCTGGCGACCTCCAGCGTCAAAGTGGCCCTGCATCGAAGGATCACTCGTGTGTCACGGGGCGGGGGAGGGCTGGCGTCCAATCAGGGGGAGGGGGCTTGTACGCGTAAGAGCGGCCCTTCGCCGGAGTGACTTCATGGTGCGGGCCCACAGGGGTCTCCTCCGGCACTGGCCTGCGCGCTTGGAGTTGGCCTCCCCCTGACGCCCGCGGATCAGAGGCCACTCTTGCCCAGGGTCACTACTCTTGCGTGTGTCTGAGGGAGGGGGGGGGGGAGCGACGATTGGGGCGCACGCAACGGGGGTCGGCGCTGACGGCGGGTCAGTCGGCCGATCTCCTCTGGCTGCTCTGGGTCTGGGAGTCACGTGTGGCGGGCGTCCCCAGTCCACTCCCTCCGCTGGCCTTGGTTTGGGAGCCATTTCGTAGCCAGCCCCAGGCTTCTGACATGGCCCTGGCTGACCCGGCCTGCTCCCCCTCGACAACTTTCCGAAAATGTGCCTCTCCTCGTCCTCCTCCTCCTCCTCCTCCTCCTCCTCCTCCTCGTCCTCCTCCTCCTCCTCATCATCATCCTCCTCCTCCTCCTTCCTCCTCCCTCCTCCTCTCCTCCCTCCTCCCTCCTCCTCCTCCTCCTCTCCTCCTCCTGCCTCCTCCTCCTCCTCCTCCCTCCTCCTCCTCCTCCTCCTCCTCCCTCCTCTCCTCCTCCTCCCTCCTCTCCTCCCCCCTCCTCCTCCTCCTCCTCCTCCTCCTCCTCCTCCTCCTCATCCTCCCCTCCTCCTCTCCTCCTCCTTCCTCCTCCTCCTCCCTTCCCCCACTCCATACTAGTCGTTCTCTCCTCCTCCTCCTCCTCCTCCTCCTCCTCCTCCTCCTTCTCCTCTCATCCTCCTTCCCCCACTCCATCCTAATCGTCCTCTCCTCCTCCTCCTCCTCCTCCTCCTCCTCCTCCTCCTCCTCTTCCTCCTCCTCCTCCTCCTCCTCCGTAGCCATTTTGGCTCAAGATGCAGGTTTCCCCTGGGAACCAAGCGGATACCGCTAGTCCGCGGCTGGCAAGACTTCTTGAAGTCTAGCATCATCTCTGGTCCACCTCTCCCGCGCTCGGGTCGGTGGGTAAACGGAGGCCTTTCCCGTTCCTGTCGGCTCGATCGCCTCCAGCTTCGAAGCCATGGGCCCTGCGCGGGGTGGCACGCATGTGGGCGATGGCTGTGCTGCTGGCGCTGCTGGGCGTGCTCCCTCCTCGGGCGGCTCCTCTTCGTCCTCCCGCGAGAAGTCCAGGAGCGGGGAGCGACGCCGCCGCAGGCGCAGTGGGCGCTTGTCCCGCGACCGTGCACGTGACGTGGAGGCTGACCGCGAGGAGGCCAAGAGGGCGGCACTCGCTGCGCTCAAGGCAGAGGAGGCGGCCTTCCTGGAGGCGGAGGCAGCCTGCCCTACGCTTCCCTCGCAGTCCCCTGCGGCTCCGCACGATCCGTGGGCGGCTGCTGCTGTTGGCCTCGGTGCTGCCCCCGCGGGGTCTGGAGCGCAGAGGGCGGCCCCCTGCTCGCCTGTCGGAGGCATGGCCACACCCGTCCTGGGGGAGGACTCCGCTGGGCTGGACGGAGGGGGGCCCGAGACCGCGGCTGCCATTGCCCACCTGCGGGAGTCGCTCTTTGCCGAGGTGCGCTCCAGCCAGGAGCGCCTCCTGAAGAACATGGACAAGAGCCTGGGCGGCATCCAGCGGGCGCTGGAGCGCCGCACGGCGCTCCTGGAGAGTCGGCAGGGGAAGGTCGAGCGCATCCAGCAGCAGCAAGAGGAGGACATCAGGAGGCTTGAGGATGAGATGCGGCGGCGCCAAAAGGAGACGGACAAGCTCATGGCGAAGCACTCTGCCGATTTGGCGCAGCTGCAGCGGGAGCTCGGTGTGGTTGCTGCGGGTGTGCCCCCACCGCCTGAGTCTGGGCCAGCATGGGGCCGTGCGATCGACCGCGCGGTCATGGTCGTCACCAGCAAGGCCCCGCTCACGCGCGCGGCGGTGGAGCTTGCCATGGCACTTGTGCTGGGGGATGCACAACTTTCTGAGGTCTCGAGAGTCGAGGGCGACGACTTGGGCCAGCGCTTCGTGGTCAGGATGGCAGGTGACTAAGCCTGGCAGAGCGCAGAGTGCGCAAGCTGGTGGCCACACTGCGCGGTGGAGGCCCTGGCGGCACCTGGCGACAAGTGGCGGCAACGACTCCGACAGGTCACACTGCGCCGCTGTCCCTCTGCAAGGACAAGAACTCGCGCCAGGTGTCTGTCCTACGAGATCACGCTCAAGAAGATGCGGCGAGTGCTCGAGGAGGGACTCTCGAAGCGCATCTTCGTCGACCCTGTCGGTCCTGACCAGATGGAAGGCACGCTCTCGATGGCATGGCAGCCCCTGGTCAAGATCGCGATCGAGGGCCCTGGTTCCCCACCGGTTGTCCAGTGGAACGCTGCCGTCCTTCGCCGTCACCAACTCCCGCGTGAACAACTGGAACAGCTGGTGGCGCCTGTCCTGGCCCCGTCGACGGCGGAGCGGTGCCTTTGACAAGGCTGCGGCTCGCTGGGGTCGGCGGCGGAGGGACGAGGGCGCTGCCGAACTCGGGGGAGAGCCTAGTCGAGTCGAAGGTGACGGTGCCGCGGGAGCTGGTCTCGGGCATGGGCATGGTGATCCTGTTGGTCCGCGCGCTGCTGCGGCTGACTTCGCGCTCACTTCTGCTACGTGGAACGCTAGGGCGCTGTGCCACTTCAAGCCTGCTACAGCAAAGGCGAGGGCGAAGTTCCTTGCCAAGTTTTGGAAGCGCGACTCGGTCATTCTGGGACTTCAGGAGGTGCATGGTTCGCACTCCCGCTTGACAGAGCTGCTCAAACATGCGGGTATTCGCGCCCGTGTATTTTCTTCGTTCTGTGAGGGAGAACGTTAAGATACTGGCGGGCTGGTCACTCTTTTCCCTATGCGTAGGGCTGATGATGATGAGGGTGTGATGTGGGAATCGTCAATACTGGTGCCTGGCAGGGTTATGCGTATTCTTGCCAAGTTCAGTGATGACATGGGGAGGCCCTGCACGCTCACCCACTGGAACATTCACAACCACGGCTTGGACCGCGGCTCGCAACGGCGTGTCCAGGCGGCGATTGCGGCTGACCTCCTCGAGGCCAAGAGGGACCCCGTCAAGGCAGCTGTGCTTATCGTGGGCGACTTCAACTTTGGCGACAGGCTGGAGCACTGCCATTTTGGCGACGATGGTCCTCCTCGATATGTTGCTGCAGCCCGACACCCGCAAGAGCAGCGGTGGCAGCGCTGCTTGGGTGATGCTGTACAGATGGTCGCCCCGTGCGCGACCCACTGGCACGCTGGCCGCCAGCTCGAGACCAGGATCGATCGGGTCTTCCTGGGCGCGCCGCCCTGGCTGGTGACCCAACGCTTCCAGCAATGCGAGGTGCTGGGCGAGCCCGAGGAGTTGCACAGGAGGGACATCAGCGACCACGCGCCTGTCCTGATCTCCTGGATGTGGCGACCGCTGCGACCTCGGGACCCGCCCAGGCCCGCCCCGATCCACCAAGACATTGTGAACTCCCCCATGTTCAAGGAGAAGCTGGCCCAGTATGTGGAGGTGCTGGACCTGCCGTCGCGTGCCCCACCTGACATGTACCAGGTGCACGCGCGGGCCATGCAGGCGGCCGCGGCGGAGACACGCGATGCGCAGCTGCAGGGCATGGCATGGTCGAAGCGGTGCACGGCGTTGATCTTCAGACAGGCGGCAAGGGTGGTGGCGCGTCAACACGTCTCGCTGGCGGAGAGGCCCCTCGTTCGCCACACCTGGCTGGATGAGCTGCTGGCTGTCGACGTGATGAGGGGCACGGTGATGTTGAAGGACCATGCGGAGTTCCTCAGGCGCTTCGTCCTGGCGCAGCGGCGCGTGGCCAGGGCCAGGCGCGCTGAGCTTCAGGCGGAGCTTGAAGCAGATGAAGAGCAGCTACGAGTTTCTGATCGCCGTCGGCTTCTTGGACAGCGACGAGCCCTGGAACGTCGTGCTGCTCTCTGGTCGGTTCTCCCTCGGCGGCATCTCGCGGCTGTGGAAGCCCCCGACGGCAGACTGCTCACCTCGCCCGCGGAGATCCACGAGGCTTTGGCGAACCACTGGGGCGAGGTCTTCTGCCCCTCTGTGCGAGCTGCGTGGCAAGCAGCGGAGAACGCCCCCCTGGAGCGTCGTCGACGCGAGCGTGATTCCAAGGCCTTCATCGAGAAGCACGGCACGAAGGAGGTGGACTGGAGCTCGCTGGCGCCCCCCTCGGCCATGAACATCGGGGAGGCTCTGTGGCGCGCTCGACCCGCTGCACCTGGGGTCGATGGCCTGCCTGCTCGGACGTGGCTGATGCACTCGGCGGGCTGCGAGGTGCTCCTGGCTGCGCAGAGATGGATGGCTTTGGGCCGCCCCATGCGCAGGGAGTTCCACATGAGCATCTCCATCTTCCCGCCGAAGAAGGTGCTGGACGGTGATGGCATGGAGGTAATCAGGAAGCCGAATGAGACACGTCCCCGCATGCTGCGCTCCACGGGCCCCAAGGCCATCGCCTCGGCGGTGAAATTCAAGCTGAGGAGCATGATTGACCGCGGTGCCTCGAAGGCCCAGCGCGGCTTCTTCACGGGGCGGAACTTCTTGGAGAACCTGGTGGAGCTCGACGCCATGTCCCGCGTCGCCTCCATGTGCGCGTTGGAGCAAGCCCGAGGCTGGGAGGAGCCGACCCTCCTGAGCTTCGACTTTGCGCACG